CGACCCTGTAACCAGGCCGCGGTTTAAACTTTGCGTTAACAAGACGACGGTGGTGATGGGATAGTTTCGCGACTTTATGTTACGTAAACTTATTCTGGGTTTTCTTTCGGGGAGGTCGGTAAATTCGAGCGCCTAATTATAGAGGTGCCAGAGAGAACGCCTTTAACGCCTCCACCATCCGCTTGCTTCTTCCCAAGAGAAACTCTGGCGGTGCAGTGGTGTGAAGGGCGCTGAAGGAGGCACTTGGCTCACCACGAACTAAGAAGTTTCAATTTCCGAACATAGTCGCGATACGATGGTGTTATTAATGCAATTAAGCAGGATTTCCTTCATACGATATAGCCTTGTAGTGTGTGACATGTGACTACACCGATAGAGAGTAATCAAGCATTGCCATGTCTCTACTGTTATAAAGAGTATTACAATATTAAGACTAGGGAAATACTAACGTTAATAAAAAATCATTTTTGAAATCTTACATTTTAATCAATTTGTAATTCAAATTCAGTTCGTATTGAGAATTATAAAAAAAAATTTTAATATTATTTATATTTTAAATAAAAAATTAAATAATGTAAAAATTCATAAACTAACGTACATTTAATATACGTTTTAAAAGGAAATTTTATTTATTTAGCGCTCTCTCTCTTTCTCTTGCTGTATGGTATTTTTCAATATTTTTTTTATTAAATACATAAAAGTAAATGAGAATTCTAGATAACATAAAAAGATATGTGCTCAAATAAACTTCAGCGCAAATCATAAAAAAATGTTTGGACACTACAGCTATATTGTACAGTTTGGAAAAGTCACATGTACAATAATACAAGTTTATTTTCCTTTAGTATACATCAATGATCAGAGCATAAATGCGATTCTGCCCTCCATTTGTGCGCGTCTGCATTTATCTACTCTTCCACGTCTCTGCTCACTACGATTTCGATATCGTTTATTACTACTATCATCTTACCTGTCTTATTATTACATAGTGCTAAACAGAGATGTATGGAGCACAAATTTTTCACGCGCATCGGCTAAGCAATAAAAGTAAATTACATTTTGTTAATCAATGTAATTTGTACGCGTTGACTAATAATCACTGTGATGTACGATTTTGAACATATGTGTGTGTGTGCGCGCGCGTGAACTTACTTGTTTACAAGTAGTTTGTAAATTATAATAAGCACAATAAATTGTAAAAATGTTTCATTAGTAGTTATGTATTCCGCTGTTTAGAATCTTTTTGGCGTTTTTATTTTGAATTAATTGGTCTAATTTCAAAAATATTGCACATTTTCTGTCGAAAAATACTTTTTTTTTATAGATTAAATCTCTATATACTTCATTATCATATTTTACTTTTATGATGTGATAATTGTAATTGCCGAACTATCTATTGTAACTGCATTTGCAGATGTAATAATTTATAATGCTAAATATGTAGTATACAATTTTGTGTTCATATATCAAATAGTAAGTAATACTTTAATCTCTCTAGATCTTATTTTATAACATCAACATTATAGCAATTAGAAGAACATTTTGTTCTTAATAATTTTGAACGCAAACAGGAAGAGAAACAAAAAAAGACAGGAAAAAGGTAAGAACTAATATAAGGTAGAATTAATCTCACAGTGAAGGATTGATTAACTTTTTGCTATATAAAAATAAATGCATTCGTGTATTATACGCATCAGTTATTTATAGCTCTCTATCAGTATAAAATTATCATGCATCGTAATGTATGCATATGAGTCGTTTAAGCCTTGATATTCTTAAGTATTAAAGCAATTAATTTGATTTGCAAATTAACAATCTTTTTTCTTATTAAGTAAAACCCAGATTCTTACAAAGATTCTATACGAAAAGAAGCCAAGGTACGTTGGAGACAAGGACGACGCCACTTGTTTTGGCGCCATTTCGCTAATACCGTCGAGCCCGTACTCACCTCTTAGAGTTCGTGCTCCGTCTACAAAGTGGGAAAATAGTAGCTTTGACGGGGCTCTTTCGAGCCGGTGCTCGTCCTATGCGGACCTGCTCTCAATTCGCACCGCAAACGCGAGAACTTCCGCGAACGACAATTCGGTCTTCCACTTCGCCGTGTCGTTTCTCACTATCGAAAGAAGGTGTCGAGCGGGCGAGCTATGCGCAGACAATACCGGCGAGCGTGGTGACTGCCGCAACTTTGGCACAAGCATCACGTGCCGCGATAAAGCAACGTGCCCGGTCGAGACGCAAGGTCGGTCGACCTACAATGCAATGGCAAAGTCTCTTTCGGAAGACTCAACACGTCGAATCGCAACTCGTGGATTTAACCCTATCTGATACGTGTAACGACTGTATACGCGACGCTAAGTGCTCGTTATAACACATTTATCGGCTATACTCTGAAGATATTGCGAAAATTTCACATAAACTTGCAGTACTTATTTAAAGTTAATTCTTGCATCAACAACATTTTCAAAGTACAAGTAACGTTTGAGTTAAAGTAAACGAAGTGTTGTATTAAAATCAAAACTATTTTACACAAATCAAATAGAATATTGCGAGGAGTCAACCACTTCATGTATTGCCGCCTATTGCGCACACGATATTACCAAGCATTGCTAGCACTATGTGTTGCAGGCAATGCTAACAAAACTAGCAATATGTTAGCAATATGCTAACAATGCATTACTAATATTTGGCAATATCGTGTGCGCGACAGTAATAAGTGACAATACAGGTGAGGTGGTTGACCTCATGGAATATTGTATATTTCTGAGAAAAGACATTTAAATATATGTAATTCAGTTGTCAAAAGATGTTATTTAATCATTATCTTTAATATCAAATAATGAAAATTTATGAATAAAAATTCCAATCTAACAAATGTCGATTTAAAGGAAAAATTGAGTTTCCTGTTAAACAAAAAAGCTCATCGACTCCTATTACGTATTGTGACTATAGCCAGTAGATGTATAATTCAATGTGACATGTGTACCGTCTATAACCGAAGACTAAGGATATCACAATAAAACTTTGAGTATTGCGATCATCTTGAACTGCTTAATATTTAATTAATAGTCTGTTGTAGCTCCTAACTATGAGTAACACAACAAAACAAAGGCTTCCATTTGTGCTATAGGTATTCCTTAAACTTAAACTTTCGAAATACAGTTTTAAGAATTAATAATATATTTTTATTTCTCGTGTATTAATTCATAATAAGACAACAGATTTTCGTTGCAAAACGTCTTCACTTAATTTCTGTTCCACAAACGTTTCTACAAAATCAACTGATGTTTCACCGATTATCACACGCCGGCCTTTATAAAGATTCAATTTTAGAAAAAAAAAAAACAGCGAGTCCCTCTCTCTCAATTAAACGTCAAATATTTTTATAAACTGGTATTTATGAGAATATAAAGTAGTTAAATTATCGAAATGTAAATTATAAGCCGATTTCGAAACAAACGGCTTATAGATGCGTGTCTATCACGATGCCCGGCGTGCTTGATTCATGAATGCGTCGCATTCATAATTCTAACATTGTCGATGTGTACCGCGCGTGACGAGGTCTGATGTAGCGTATAACGAAGCGAACGATCCAGCGACGTAATCGATACGACTTTAAGTAACAACTAACTCGTCGAACGCTCGTATCAAACAGAGAAGGTCAACGTCGACGTTTGTACGAACAATTGCGCGACGTTTACTATTAATAAGCATGTATTATATAAAGGAACAAAAGAATGTACGCGACGTTTCGACAGAATGGGGGCCTTTGCAAACAACTTAAGACTTGAAATAATAGCAACACGTGCGAAACGCGCGTATGCCTTTTCCACACACTTCGCGAGCCCAAGGACACAGTACGCTTATAATCAATAGGTCAGACAGAGAGGACTTGCTGTTCATTCGTTCAATTTCAACATAAGTTTGTCATATTTCGATCAAGCTGCAAAATATTTCCGCAGGAAGGTGACACTCGTGCAAACAAAGATTTTTTCCACATAATCAGCGATTTTTAATCGAGAATTCTAATCGTTTCCGCGTTCGTTATGTTAAATTTTCCTACAATAATGTGATACAAAGCACTTCGTCGACGCCACGCAGCTCCGATAATTTTCCTGCATGCAACGCGCGACATACATTTTCATGAATGAAAAAGCGTACGAGTGTGTTCGGTGAGATACCGTCGAATTCAACCGTCAACTAATTTTCTGGCAGGAAAAGCAACGGTCCGTTTCCTAGAATAAAAAAAAAAAAAAGACTAATTGCGAAAGTTGTGAAAATTAGGAAAAAAGATAGCAATCGACCTGTGTATACTCGTTAAACACGAAGTAACAGTGTACTGGAAAAAAAATGGTTGAATCGACTATACTTCTAGTTGAGATAATTGAAATTCTGATTGATACGTGTGCGATCAGAATCTTCTGGTTCGTTAATTTTCAATCACAAAATAATATAATTTCCCATTCAACAATACAAGTGTAATAATTAATATAAATATACGTTGTATACGAAACAGTTACATTGTTGAATAGGAAGATAACATTGATATAAAGTTAGTATTATATGTTTAGAGGGAATATCTCGATTTCCTTTTTCCACCCAACCCTTAACGTTTCCTGCGGATTCACAACGATTTGCAGTTTGATGCAGATTTGGAAATTCATGCGTAACGGCGCAAATATACGGTAACGCCACTTTGAAGTCACATTAGATCGCTAGCGTGAGCTAAACGCTGTTAAATGTCACGTGTCACGTAGGGAACCGTTGGACGAACATAGGGAATGCGCGATGTAAAAGCCGTGTCACACATTAATAGAACGATATGGAATGTAGGAATTCGGACACGCTGAATAACTCGGAAACGCTTGCACTTCTCCCACTGCACATGTTTAGCCAGCCAAACAGCTGTCCGCAGTTACGCTTATCGAATTGACTGGACGACTTCAACCACGTTTACTGTGTTCCGAAAACAATATATAGAAACGCTAATATAGCCTACCTACCCAATAGTCATAATCCAAAGCTGTTTTTCTCACTGGTGTTCAACGAGCCTTCCCAGAACTTCCCGTTCGCCTCCTTCGTGAATTTCTCCTTTCAGGATCGCGTACAGCTCTCACTAGACGACGTATATCAACGGTACGTCGTCGGCACGTTACAAATCATGTGATCACGTTTAGATGGGAATTCCAGCTGCTCTTAATCCTCCACGATGATTATCTAGCGGATCAATCGATACGTTACTCGATTACTACCAGGATTATCGGAGCACCGTCGTGTCCTTCCGCAGGGAAGATGACTGCGCAAATAGAACGACGATCGCAATGACGAACCAACAGAGGTACGGTGCTCGTCTTCAATAATAATCTCTTCGTTGAATCAAAACACGAAACAAATTTGACTAATGGATCACCCGAACAGAGCCGTGTTCTCCGTTGGACGATGATACGAAGGTAGAATAACACGAGTCAGTTGTGCACAAGAGAGGACTTTATGTATATATACCCCTTTGGCAATTCTTCTATTTATCGTGGAACGACTGAGAGACACTCGAACAGTCGTGCTTTTCATCAAGACCTCGACGCGGCGACACAGGTCATTCGAGTTACTCTCTTCGCGATACCCTCGGATTATTCTCGCAGCTCCGCGCGTCGACGATTTCGGAGTAATCGCGAGCACTTGCTTAGAGCGAGAGGGGGATAGATTAACCGGAAGAGGGGTAGTGACACTTGCCGTGAAACGCACGGGGACTGCCCTTCGTGATCCACGTCCACCGACGCGAACAGGTGGGCACACGCTCGACAAGTCACGTCGCGCGCGGAACACGCGAATCTTCGCGAGTACCGTGATATACGGAAGTAGTACGGAATACGCACGCGTCGTCGCGACGGCTTGACGTCGACTGAGGTAGCATGGATACGGCGCCTCGCGCCTGTCCGTCCCTGCTTTGCCGCCTCCACCACCACCACCGCCACCGCCGACGCCGCCACCGCCGCCGCCGCCGCCACCGCCGCCGTCGCCGCCGCCGCTACTACCACCACCACTACCACCACCGCCGCCGCCTCCACCGTCGCGACGCTGCCCCTCCAAAACGCAGAAGCGCCACTGACTCGCGCGACGCCTACACCCTCGCGGGTTGATATATATGTGTGTGTATATATATGTTCTGCTCCCTTGACGTCTCTTCCATGCCGCGAGAGCTCCGATATCGCCGTCATTCGGTATCGCTGCGACCACGAGGGTGGACGTCGCGATGCGATTCGACCAATATTGTTTATGATGATAATTAACAGGAAAGAAGTAATTCAAAACTTAAAGCAATATCGCGTATTATCTGAACATATTTCATTTCTAAAGCTGTATATAATAAATGAAAATTCTCTTGTAGTTAATGATTGAATATTAAAAAAATTTTAATTTAAAATTAAAATTTTGTTAATAGTATGTAAACGGAATTGAGATATTCTATTGTGCGTTTAATATTTTAACTTTAATATTCGAAAAATGTATAATTTTGCCAAATGCAACACACGATTGAAGAACCCGTCGTTATTTTGTTGATACACTGAAGATAATCAAAATTGTGGTCGAAACGTTGGTAGCAATTATTGTTAATAATATAGATAAATTTTACTACCATCGGCTTACATTTTCCTTATTTCGATTTATTAAAATATTTATTTAATCCACGATTTAAATCGCTGCTAAACTTTTTGCATTACTTTTAAACACAATATAGAAAAGTTTGTAATTTTTAAATAGTTTTTCACTTTTATTAAAAAGTACGTGTAGCATACTCTCAAAATGTCTTTTAAATATTTTTTAAGACATCTTGTATCTCATTTTTAAATTTTGTATTGTACAGGATATTCAAATTTTATGTATATTTCTGAGAGCACATACATAAATATTATTTCCCCCTCATATTGTAATTATACCAATCTAATTATTTCAGTGACCATCATAAAATATTATCATGATGGCACTAAAATTACTGTATTACATGGTATAACAAATGCATCCTAAACTTTTAATTGCGATAATTACTTACAGACGACACGTTATCTTTCTTTACTTTAAAAATAATAAATATTTTATAACAGTATATACACAGTATACGGAGGTACTGCGCGTTTACACGAATATGATAGTACGGTTATAAATGTGGATGTGATATTTCTACAAGAGTCAGAACGATATTCGTGGCTATCATCGCGAATGCAAACGAGTTACGAGAAATGAGCCGGAGTAAATGAAACCACTGCGTCGTCGTGCGGGAAGCGACGTTAGCGTTCTCGGGATGGAAGCCGCATGCTCGCCGCTTAGCTCCGCTACCACGTCATTCGTCGTCGTTACCGCCCGGAGGAAAAACGCTGACGCCACCACAAACGCAGCAACATGTCGCCGTGACTCCGAACAGCAAAAGGAATCCCCATGTTATTCGTTCTCTCGACAGTTCTCAACCACGTTTCGCGAATGGTTCGCTTGCCGGCGCGGATGATTTCTGTCATACGAAGCGAACGTCCGGTCGCTTTGCGTTTTGCGACGCAACTTTGTAACGAGCGTGTGCGACGATAAATCGGACTACGTGTAAGAGACTGTAACAAGATGTAACTGCGTAGAGCGATTGTCCGTACTCTGCGAGTGCCTTAAGTTGCTGGTTACGCGATAACTGGCGTGGACCACCGAGAGATATTACAAAGAAGCATAATTATGCGGTAGGCGGTTTTTGGCGGTGAGCACGAGCGTTCCATTATGACGTTAGTATGCACCCGCGAATGGTCGCCACTTGGCCATTTGTCACGACTGTCACAAGTTCGCCCAGTTTAATGCATCCGCGCCCTCGAGTCGTTCCCGCTTTCACCCGGCGTCGCCTTTGCCGCAATTTTGGAGTGGCAACGCCGTTAACAGGCGGCGTTTCCTTGGGCGCACAAAGCAACAGCAGTCGCGTTCTGAGGTTCGCGGCCGGGCTTGACTGATGCCGGGTTCCGGGTTTGCCTGGGAAAGACGTCGCCGATGCCGTTCAACCAAGAGCAGCGATCGATTCGTCTCTCATGTTAATGCTTAAAATGGGAAATAGATTAGCTCAAAGCTTAACTATGTTTTTTTTAATTTATCTCATTTAAAAAACTAATTAATAATGTTTACGCACAAGTAGTATATACGTGTAAATGTAAAAGAAATATTTTACAGAGTTTCGTTAAATGTGTTCGTGCATGAAAGATGCATTATACATACTTTTTAACAAAAATTATTTAAAAATTACAATTTCTCTATATTGTAATTGTATTTGGAAATATTGATATAATACGAAAAGTTTTGCGGCGTTTTATAATCTGGATTAAAAATATCTCAATAAAAATATTTTAAAAAATTCTTTAAAATAGTTAAGATAATGAAAATAATTAAACGAGAAAATTTTTATTTAAACCATAAAATTGTAAAATATATACATATGTATATTGTTAAATATAAATACTGTTTCGTTCGTATATAATATTCATCTTTTTATAAAATAGGTATAAATTTTCAATTCTAGCAAACAGTCTCTTTTTGCAAAAACTATACATACAATACATCTTTTTACCCCTTATAAGCATTTTATTATAAAAAGTTAATTTTGATCATTGTTATACTATTTATTAATTTAAAGATTAATTTTTTCATAACGCATTTAATTCATAGTATGATATTGAAAAGGATTCGTAAAACAATCACAGTTCACGCACAGGACTTATCCAGTATCGTAAATTTGTGTACGAATGGATTAATATCTCCGAATTGCCAGAATAGTGTTCCTAAATAATTAACGGTAACAAGTTCTATTAATGATTAACTATTATTGGCGGTTATTAAAGTGGTAACAATAAATAACCGTTAATATACATTGATAAGCTATTATTCGCTTTGCGTTGATCTTTCTTAGCATGCGAACAAGTCATTCTCTTCGAGAAGAAGAAAAAATATATAGACGTTTTCAAGGGGAGCGACTCTTAAATTTGTGCGTGACTGGACTAACTGATGTTCACGTCTGTCAGATAATAAAAATGTACGAAGAATGTGAATTATTATGATTAATTTGCATACATTTGCATCTCTTGTGAACATAGATTGATAATCTGCGAGCCGTACAATCGACGACACTATAAAATTATTCACTTTGTCATTAACATTTTGCGTAATTACGTTTTAAATAAATTTCTGAGTGAGATATTTCCGAATTATTACAAAACTTATCTTTTCTTCGTTACTTGATATTCACATTAATTTTGACATAAATTATTTAAATCATCTACAGTTTGTCATAATAAACGGGGATACAGGAAGTTATGTAAATTTTTTGCCTACTTGTTTATAACTTATTTATAAATTTAATTATCAATTCAAATTAAGCTAGCAAAATTAAAACCAATAAATTCTTGTATTGTTTTTAAAGGCAGTATACTACAAAATGTAACATGGCGGTAGTATACATACAGTGCACACTTGTGCAAAGTTTGGAAAATGAGTCAAGTACTTATCGTGGAATCCACGTGGTGTGCATCTTTGCTCTGCACAGTTGTGGTAAATGACAGCTTGATATTGATACTGGCAGCTGTGCAAAGCATTTAAATCGCATTGATCTATTTATTAATGGCACATCTAAAAAATCGATCTATAAAGGAATTAGGTAAACTGCACTTCTCTTATCGAAAGATCTATTAGATTCATAAAAAAGCGATTGAAAGTAACTGGAGATCCATTTGTATTTATAATACTATACATTATACGTTCCAATAGTTTTTCCGCTAATCTAATAGTATTTTTTTCACAAAAATTATCATGCTTATTCATCATCCGGAAGACAAACCACAAAGAAGAGTGAAAAAACTTCATTAATAATTTATGATCTTAATAACAATATTGCTTTATGTGCTTTTATGTTGTATATTATTAAAAATTTTTTGTACTTAAAAGATATATAACGTATGAATTAACAATATAATATACTGTTACTACCTAGAATTATTATTATTTAATAATAATAATCACGCTCTAAATATTATATTTCTCACATACAAGTTACGATAAAAATAACAAAATATTTTAAAGCATTATCAATATGTTTAATGCTAGTAGAATTATTATTTAGAAATATCGAATGGAGTATTACTATTTGTATACTTATGAGGATAAAAATAGAAAACGTATATGAAATAACAGACAGATATATTGATAAAATATATGAGCAGTAAAGTAATAAAGGCATTATTTTTATTTGTTCTATAATT